CAGGAACTGCACTACCACCACCACCGGTTATTTTAGGCATCTGAAATAACTCACTTTAAAACCAAGTCCTGCATACTGTGTCAAAAAGGGCAGACGCTGTCATCTTCTCAGGAAACTGCCAACAATCTACAGGACATTTAGCAATTTGCTAATGCAGATTTTATACTGTATACACACACTTTATACATATAAACATTTCAATAAAGTTACAATATTTAATTATTTCAGTTCTGGCATTTATGCTTGTTGTTCAAAACTGCCTACACTATTTCCCCCACCTTTCCTAGGTCCATGAAATACAGCTACCACAGCACTTCGCAGGTAGGTGGCAGAGTTACAGTGGTAAGAAGTTTCAACACAGCGGTTTTGTAATAGCACAGTTACACGCTCAAAAAAACCCCACCTCTACCAATGTCATTTCAGTTATACAATTTTAGACTTCCATCAGTTTGTTTAATCAACTGCAAACTTTTCTCCCCCAATCACAACTCCAAAAATTTTTTTAGATAAAGATCAACAAATTATGATATAATTAGAATGTAGCTTAGAGGCAGATAGCTTACTTCCTAGGAAATCCCTCTACGGGCTTTTAAAAACACATAATTCAGCCAAAATCTAGTTTGTTTATATTCACCTTCTATTGTAAAGAAACAAGAATGATTTTTTTTTTCATCAACTGTTCAAACAGAACGTGGTTCAGATTCAGCAAATCTGAAAATTCAGTAAATCGAATATTCAATGATGACTAAAAAGGTGGTATTCACGTTCAAAAATAGCTGTTCAAAGCAGATCTAAAGCAAATGCCAAATACAAAATTACAATATCCATACATAGTGTATGCTGAAATCCTAGAAGGTAAAATTTCCCTGCTGCATCTGTGACTCAATCTCTGAGGTTACATCCATGCTGCACATTTAGCCAGGTTCCTGCTGTCTGTCTACAAGCAAGCCTTCAGCCCGGATTACAGATCCCACCCAACCAGGCTCTCAAACTCCTTCCTGGCTGAGGGAGAGGTCTGCCTCGCCCGAGTGAGCTGTGGTGGTGTGCACAGAAGTACATTGGTACTAGACTAAGAGCTGCCTTCCAAGAAAGACGGGGGTTTATTCCTTTTTTATCCTCTGTTTCAGCTCAAAAATCAAACAGGATGTCTTATAATATCTGTAGTTTCAGTGAACCTGTTTGATTTTATCCTGGACACCATGAAGGAAATATCTCACACAGCCAGTATTGTTTCAGCTGGTAGGACGCAACTGCTAAATAAAAGATCAGTGCAGCGTCTGCTGACTCATTTTGAGATTCAAATCCCTAATCTGGTCACAAAAGCAGTAGACCAATAAATTTGTCAAACAAAGCTCAGGGCTAGATCATAAAAGCAGAAATAAGAGTATTCAGTTGCGCAGATCATTTTCTCTTATAGAGGAAGGAGCAGAGGCAGAACTGGAACAACTCCAGAAAGAGGAGAGAATAAGGCAAGTGCAGTGGTGGCAGCCGTGATTAAGATGAGATACGGAGTATGGCTGTGCACCTAAAGAATGAAAATAAACTGACTCTGAAGCCGTACACTTAAATGGGAGTACTTTGCCAGTTTGGTTATCTCCCCGCAGGAAAAGCAGTCTGCTTTCTCACCAGCAGCTGCTTGAAAGTAATCTGATTTACAAACAAGCATGTCAAAAATAGCACTGTGCTTACTCTACAGGAAAAAACCAAATTGGTAGCACTTAAACCCAAGAACCTCCCCTCCACAATTCCCCAAAGCACACATTAAGCAAAATACAGCCTATGCCATTAAATAGTGAAGAAATACAAACTGACTGTTCATTCCATTCCATTTCTGGATAAACATAATTATGAACCTTAAAGAACACTTTCCTCCATATTAATCAATTTTAAAGTAGTACTAATCTAAATGCTAACGTATTTGATACTGAAATCTAGACCCATTTATCTAATAAAACAAAAAAATGAATTGAGAGCAGCATCTGTTTTTTAGTGGGGGCATCATCAGCTTAATGGAAATACAAAGTTATTAATGGCATATAATTTGGTAAACTTTGATCTATACATCTTACCAAGTCTCATTAACTGTCCATGTATGTGAAAACAGAAGATGCATTGGTATTTCCTCTAATACCTTTGTAGTTCTTTACCTGAACAACAGAACACTTTTCCCCTAACAACAATAAAAAACGCACTGTATTTTTCCAGAAAAACAAAATTTTCTATCAGGTTGAGGAGTTCTTAGTGGATTTTAGCACACTATAAGCTAGTGCAATTACTTTTAAAAGAATAAATCCTATTTCTACGCCCAAGTTATCACAACAGACACATATCACAATTTGTGGGAAATTACAGAACGTAGATCCCATCTTGAAGTTGGATGAAGTTGGACAAAGGTTATGCCCTGTATCGATGAGCGGTACTTCAACAAGCAACATACTGCAGGACTGGTACTGTAATTATTTCCACCCTTGAAATGAGAGACATTTTAAAAACAGGGCAACTAATTCTTGCATCTGTCATCACATGTTATTGCCGAGTAATATGCAACCAACTGTAGCTAATCACATATAAATGGCATCTCTTACACAATCATGCAGTATTTTATCCTATGCCCACATTGTAAAGCATGATAGGTGAGTACCATTTTAAGAGGAATAAAAGGCTACTGAAAATACATATGGAAAAGCAAATTCTCATTTACTTTATTAAAACTTGGAAAATGTCTTAAATAAAACTATTTTATTTCCAATCTGTGCATTTGCATTCTCTCATATTAATAAAAACAGAATAGGTTTTACTTTCAGTTATTTAGTTCCTACAATATTTCAGTTACAGACAGCAGTGAAATACTTCTTTGTTCAAAACAACTTTCTCTTTCCGAATTAAAGTCAGACTGACACTTTGTCTTTTTACTTACGGTTCATGCAGCCTTGGTTGTTGATTTCAGCATATCATCTCTTTTAAGTTACATGTTAAAAGCCCATTTTCATTAATTACCAGATGTTAAAAGCAACACAAATCGGCGCAACAAAAGTAATTTTACAGAATTTAAAGGATATGGTGAGTTTACAGAATCCTTTGGTTAAATTTACTAAAAGACAAGTTACATTGACAAAGACCACAGTACAGAAACCATTTACAGTTTCATTAATTTTTAGGATTTCCTTTAGCATTTTCAGCATTCACAATATAAAAGATGAAGACCCTCCCCCCTCAAGAAGACAGATAACCGCAGACACTTTGTTTATTCAAAGGCACTCAGCTTGCTTTTTGTATTTTTTTTTAGGTTTGGCAGACACCAAGTTGATATTGCTTTCATCATTTGCTGGCCTAAAAGTCTCTTCAAAAGTTCATGCAACACAACAAATTACAGTCAGTGGCCAAGCACAAAAATATCATGTACTTATTTGGGAATTTTTTTTGTGAGTAAAATACTCATGATCTTACAAAACTCTGATTTTACCAGACTAGGCCTTTGGCCAATTTTGATTTTTTTTTCCCTTTAACACGCTGTGCCTTCAGCTTCTTTCTCTGCCTGGAATTCATCCATATTGGGTACTGTCCATGCTGGTCTAGAAGAGTTTTTTTGTTTCGTTTATTATCTATGTCCATTTTGCAGTCATCTGAAAAATAAAGGTATTTATAGTGAGTAAAATACATGAATCAGCTACACATGAGAAGCTATTTTATTACAAGATTCACAAAAATGATGCAAAAATATCCCTACGCACAATAGAGAGCTGAAGGCGCTTTCCAAATCAATACAACTGCAACCCAGGAACTTCAACAGCTGATAGTAAATATGCAGAATTTTCCCTAAAGACCCATGTCTGGGTAAAGCACCTTATTCTTTGGTCTGCCATCTGTTCCAATAGTGTGTCTAAAAACATTGTGTGTGGTCTCCATCAAATGCTGCAACCATACAGGAAGCCATAGGCTTACTGAAACATATGCACAATTAAACACTTTTTATGATGTAATGTTTAAGATCTGTTCTAAAAAATGAAATTAATGTGAGTGGAAGATGAAGACAGGTAAAGAGAAGAATAAAGAGAAAAGCTGAAATACAATGACCGTACGAAGCATGAGTCAGTGATGCTACATTTGCCTCAAAAAGTGAGCACAAGGTCAAATCTAATATATTTAAATATATTTAGAGACAGAAATAGAGGATTAATCTCTAGGATCAAGAAGACTGCCTGTGACATGGTCACTCCCAAGAATGGTGTCCCCAGCTAGCTAACACCACATGAACGTCACGTCTTGGTGAGACAAGACAACTACAAGGGGAACACCTTGTTAAGTATAGATTTGAACTGTGCTCTACTATTTAATTTCAACCTTGTTTCCAAACCATCCATGTGCAACTCTCAAAGCTTTATCAGAGCTTTTACAGAGAGGAAAAACCACTTTTTTCTGTTGTGCCTGTCTGATGTTGGGAGAAAAAGTTCATGAGGAAAAGGCCAACGTGCTGCTTCAATAGTTGAAGCATGCCGACAGTCTACAGGGATCTGCACCACAGAGACGTGCTTAGGGAGCCCTAAAGTTGGGATACAAATACTTGTAGTCAGCAGAGAATCAGCACGGGGCCTACTGCCTGCTGGCACAACCACAGGCTGATCCAGCATGGGACAGGCAGCAAATAAAGTCCCAGCTCCAGAAACCTCCTGAGACATCAAGAGAAACGTAACATGAGGCCTTCTTAACCGCGCTGTTTTCCAAATGTCATAGAAGGAGAGATGGCCTCCAACAACACAACACAAAAAAACCCAGCACTCCAAGAAAACCAACTCTACATACATAGGCTTTTTCTCTGATTCTTGTCCTATCATATAATTGAGGTTAATCTGTTACACAAATTTTGACTGCAAAAAAGCACATCCACAATAAATGTCAGCTGCAACATTAACTAAATGAAGAAATACTCCTGGACTAAAAATACCAGTTGTTCACACAGCACAACGTTTTTATCATACTTTCTAATCTCAAGGATGCTGTAGTAATCAGTAACAGGAAGAAACCTACTGAGCAGAAGTGGTCCAAGGACATAAAGAAAACCTATCAAAGGGGTTAAAGACAAAGGGAAAAGGACCAAGAAAAAGTAGGTTATTGAAGCAAACTCAATGGATATGATTATCTTGAAAAATAAGTGCATGCTCACAAAGTTTTACAAAACCATTTTTGACCACGGCTAGCCAGACCTTCCATTATTTTTTTTCCTAACAACAAAACCTGAAAAAAAAATTATTTCACAGAGTGTTGTGAATGGAAAAATGTCCCTAATATACACCTATATACTTTCTTAGGCTGGAAAATTATTCACCTACCTATGGAAAGCGCATATTCTGGATGAAGCTTTCATCTACTTCAGTCCTTACAAGATTTGGCGATGTGAACTCCCTTGTGTCCACAAACAGTGCTGAAAAGTCCTCTCAAAGAAGACACCATTATTTTCACAAAACTTGTAATTGTTTCGTGAAATATATATATTCTTAGGTATTTCTGAGGCTCCTCTCTCTCTACAAAGGCCAAGTGAAACTGGCCACTTGTAGAAAAGTTGCCGGCAGACTTGGAAGGCGGTGCAGGAATGACAGCCAGGCATTTGCTTCAGAAACTAGGTTTAAGACAATGATGTTTCCTCCAGCTTCAGCATCAGTATCAGAAGGCTGACATTGTTCCAAAACATTTTGGAAATTCAATTCTAACAATCCCATAAAGAACAACTTTTACATCTGGTTTATAGGACAAATCAGAACCACTGATAAAGTTACAAATTATACTCCAAGCTACCCTTACTTGAGCAAGTATTTTTATATAGCATTCTATTTCCATTTTCAATATAGTTTACAGGCTCTGCTATTCAACCTCACACTTCCCTGTCCTTCCTTATTTCTGAAACACTGACAAAACTGGCTGCGTGACTGACACCGATTACTAGCATTATTCTGCATCCCCACTGTGGTGTCTTCAACAGACTTCTGCGTGCCACATAAAAAGCTCACATAAGCAATATCGTAACAGCTTAAGCGGCATAAATTGGAGAAACAAAAAGGACTATGACTGCAGTTTTGGAAAAAGAAGGTGTCTTTCTGACCCCTGTCCAGTACGTAGCCATTTAAGATCTTTGTTTCCACCTCCTGGGTTACTTCCTTTACAGATTACATCCTATTCAAGGAATAGAGAGGAAGATGGCATTATCTGTAGACACGTAATACCACCCACTCCTGCACCATGTGCAATGCAGCATTACTTAGCATACAAAAACAGGGTCCCTAATACCCCTACCTTAAGACAGTACATTTAAAAAGGAGAAGAAACAACATTACTCTATCCTGGATAAAATCTCTACAAAATTACTTTAGATTTAGGTCCAACTTTTATATGCTTAGTGTCCTCCTTAAACTAGGATGGCAATCATATTCCATCTCCAATTTAACAGCAAATATAATGCTGTGATTAGAAAAACTGCTAAGTGATGAATCCTCACTCACCTGATGTCTTCACAAAGAGATGTCTCTCCGTAAGATACTACATACTTTAAATCAAACGTTAATAAGCTTGTTCCACGAGTGACCGGATGCAATATAGAAGCTCATATTGTGAAATGACCAGATCCAATGATTTAATAGCATCTTTTGGCTTTAAAAGATAAAGATTTTATTTTCCAACTCACTATTCTCAACCTGTAATAATCATAAGTCTGATCACGATAGCGAAAGCCACAGGAACAATAAAATACACCGCAGGACATCCCTGCACTTGGGTGGTTGTAACAGAAGAACTGGTATAGTGAAAAACATGCTAGAAACGTGACGGGCCGGGGGGG